TGGGGAAACAGATTCACACTGACTTAATAAACCATCCAGACCTCCTCTGAGCCGTTCATGGGCTTTTATTCTGTGATTGTGATGATGAATCTTTATATTCTCATGTGACAGTTATGAGTTTATGAAGTAGCTGCAGGTGGGAGTGTGACAGCAGTTACGGTGGTTGTGTGTGTTTGTATTTAATGAGTATAGGCATAGCGCCTTCCAATGAATATGCTTTTGTATGTTTACATACTCGTTTATCTGTGTATGTGTGTAACTTTGTATGACTGTGTTTGTTCAGGTATACTATGGCACTTGTGTATGTGTTACTTAATAAAGTGTGTCCAATGTGATTAGTTCAATAGCTCTGTGTGCAGTATGGCTCTATACATGTTTCAGCTAACGCTTGAGGGAAAGTGTCCCTTTTGTGTGTGTGTGTGTGTGTGTGTGTGTGTGTGTGTGTGTGTATGTGTCTGTCTGTGTGGTAGAGAGACGGTATCACTAACTGCCATCTATCATCAAGAAAATCACACTGCCCTCCACTGAATGGCTGGGATAATGGACTCATTAAACTCAAGTGTATGTGTGTGTGTGTATGCCCTCTACTGCATATGGACAACATGAAGTTTGAGTGAATAACTGGGATAATTTAGTCATTAAGAGCGAGATGGGGGAATTCAGGAGGTAATCAGGCATGTATTTAAGTATTTAAAGCTGTTTTTTTTGTTTCAGACACATGGAGTTGTCTGGTCAGTCAGTCTGATTACACTTCACCAATCAAAACAATAAAATCAATCAAATGAATGTCTGATTACCTCTTTCTCTATCAGACTTACAGCTCTGAATGTTGAGTATTTTAACTGTCTGTCAGTCTGTCTGGTTATGATGTCAGTTTCATCTCCACTATTTAAGTTTATAACCTCGAAGAACAGCAGATGGGAAAATTTCATGCTGTTTCCCAGCAATCTGCTGATTTGTATTCACTGTTTTTGCAGCACTCATGAGATACACATTTTAAAAAGAATTGTTAACACATCCCAAGATGTCCTGACTTTTAGTCCCTAGTCAAGCTCCAACAACACTGGATGTCACTTGAATCATTTTCTCAGATTTGACAAAGCTCCTCTAGAGCCATAGAAGACATTATACACGTGTTTCAAAGGCTGAAGAGTATTCCCTGTGACATGTAAAATCAGTGAGATGATACTTTGAACAAAAACCTAAATGTTTCCCCAAAGATTTATTACTATATTTTATTTTCTGTGTTTTTCTGTCTCTTTAAGATTTTTCTAGCGGTAAGCAGGTCCTCCATTTTGCGCATTGCATTTTAGGACATTAGTACAATCAATAACAAATACAAAGTGAATCAAGTCTGCTCACTGACATCTTACTGAGTGGATATATATACAGTTACGTTTTTTTTTTTCAGAGTGAAATGCATTAGATCAGAATCAGAATCAGGACATAGCTTCAGTCTGATGAGAGCCTCCCTTCGAGTGGTGGGTTTAAATAAAATAGTTCACTGCTGCTGGCAGGTGAAACCTTTCTATGTCAAAAAAGCCTAATTTTCAGCTTGATGGATTTCAGAGTTTTTACAGTGTGGTTTTGAACGTGTTTCAAAATCACAGTGGTTGGAGCAGTTTCTCAGCCAGTGGAGGATATTAAAATGTGAAAATCATCTAAATTATTAGGCTTTTAGTCTGCAGAAGTGTACATTGCACGGGTTTTAATTTTCCAGTATCATGCATTAAAAATGTTCTCACTCCTACGGATTGTTTGCTAGCATGAGAGTGACACAGCTCTATTACAGTACTGTGAGTTAAAGTGATGTGTTTATGAAATATTAACTGGTAATTTCTGTGTTTCACATTGGTTAGTAGATCCTCATACTGTTCTTTTCGTCTTCTGTGGCTGTTCTCTCATTGTCATTTGTTTTTCTTGCTTTACTCATCATTTTGCTGCTGCATCACTTCAGTTAAATAACTGGGATGTTTTGGGTTTCCGCTTCACTGCTCTTTATAGTAGCCCATTTTCTTTAAAAACAGGAGGAAAAATACTTCTCTTAAATGTCTCTACCGGTTTTTGAATTATTTGTCAGCTACGAGTTCAAGAGATGAAAGACAATCAAAATGTACAATGGCTCTGAACTGCCGAACTACCTCAGAGTCAAAGTGTTTAAGTGGAACTGACATCCTTTTCTAATTACAGCGATTCCACGACAAAAAATCTCCTCCATCTGTCTCAGAAAATCCTCCGTGATGATGAGAAGGGAAATGACCACAGCATGAAGCTCCCACAGAGGCACGCACACACACACACACACACACACACACACACACACACACACACACAGACACACATAAAAGCATTGTAGTGGACATGTAGCCCACTGCAGTCCCTACACACATCACATCATACATTTTGTTTTTGTTGTCTTTCCGAAGATGAGCATACTGGCCACTGTAGATGTACAACACACATAAACCTCTGTTGTTCAAAGACATGAAGAATACACAACAAAGGCGGAGGTGGGCAGAGATACTGGAACTGAAACAGCTCTATTTAGATACATACACACACACACACACACACACAAACTCATACCTTCAAATAACTTAAACAAAACTACATGCACATGTACCAACACACACACACACACACACACGTAGCTCATGTGCTCGCAGAAACACACACAAACACACTGCTTTAGCAGCTCTTCACATTTTCACATTCAGATTTCATTAGAGCTAAATTCCCACCTGGGAGAATCCAACAAGGTTTCCCTTCTCCCTCTCTCTGTACTTTCTAGGTCATGGATGGTCGACTTCAGCCTTATCACATCTACTTCACAGACCCTTTGTGTTTGGGCTTATGTAAGGATGTGTAATCAGTCGGTTTCTTACTCTACGGTGTCTCTGGTAAACATGATTAAAGGGAGATGAGTTTATCTCACCCTAACTAAAGGACTGCATGCCTCAAAAAAGCTTTTAATTTGAGGACAATTCACTGTAAATATGGCTGAGAAGGCAAAAGATCAAATCCCAAATCCTGTGTTAATTAGAAGATGCACATCTTTGCTTTCTCATTACTTTTGACCGTCACGTTTGTTATACCCCAACAACAAAACACCCAACGTGGGTCTTAAATCCTGCCCGGTTTGGGGGAGACGACTGATGGGTCTTAATGCTTCAGGACATCTCAGAGGGCCTCAAACACAGTGTCCATCAAACCTTCCTCCTATTCTCCGGTGAGGCAAACCCCACCCCACTGCTGGTCCCACAAGGTTACAACAAACACCAACAAATAGAGGCTTGTGCAGCACTGCTTCACCCCTTTAAAAGGACTCCAATTCAACCATGCGTAAACCTACCAATGCGAGAGACTGCGCTCCTTTCAACACTGGCATCTTGATTCAACAACATGTTTACGCAACGAGCTGCACAATGGCAACTAACAAGCGCATGAAGAAAAAGAGGGTGAACCACACCAGCATACCGATGCACAAATGCGTTCTCCACCACAGTATATGAAAAAGAAATTGCTGGAATTTCATATTTTACTTGATAGAAGTTGTGGTTTTCCTTTCCCCTTTTTGAGGAGGTTCTGTTGTGTCTGTCTGCAGGCTTTTTCCAGCAACCTCTGCATGGATTTTACTGTGGTGGACAGATCGGCCTGGGGCCAAGAAATAATTAATTTGGTGCTTATCTGGATCTGGGAATTCTGCCATCAGATAATTATTTCTTTGTTAGCCATAACTGAAACTAACAGACAGAGACACTTGATTTCAAATCCTGAGGGGGCGTCTGAGCTGTCAAGAAGTCAGTTTATGACAGGGAGGATGTATTTGGGTGTGAAGCTTAATTGTCAAATTGTTTCAAAGATGTTGGCAACGGATTTGATTTCGACAGGAAATTAAACTAAAGCCAATAAAGTAGCCCCCCTATCTGCAGTCTTGTTGCTATCATTATGCTTTGTATCTGCTTTGGAAAACATTCATATTGATAGCACTTTAATTGATATTTCAGCCAATTAATTTCTGCCAAAGAAGCTGTAAGTAAAGGTCTTAATGGATGATTCCCATTTTTTGTTAATGCGTGGGATCTGGGAACAAGTCTACATCACTAAAGAATTTAAATAGGCAAGAAACATAAGAGGTCTGACAATCAGAACTCAAAGTTTTGCCCAAATTATTTGGAAGAGAAAACAAAAGTAAAAGGTCAAATTATCATCAAACTGCCCTTAGTAAAACATCACCACAGATTATAAACCAGCGGCTCCTGGTTCAGGTTTGACATATGCTACTTATATAGTTGTTTTTCAGTGTAATAAGAGAATATTAGCAACAATTCAGGTGCACTCACTTTCTGTGTCACTTACAAATAAAGTGATTAAGATAATTTGGCTAAAGTGTGTTATTATTGTAGTAATGTCCGCATGTTTCCGGATCTCAGCAATTACTTTGGTGAGAATGTTATTATGATTGAAAGAAATAATGGACAAAACTATGAAAATGAGAACCAAGTTAGACTTTAAGCTGTCTTATAGCACTGACTGCCCCCCCAAACTGTAATACACTGTAACTATTTTAAATGATGAATATGTAATATGTAATCAATCCTGTGATGGACAGACAAAATGAGCTCTTAAATTATTCCACTTCTTAACAGACCTCATGGTAAGAGCAGAAAGTGAGGTGGGCGGCGAAACTTGACTACTGGAGAAAGATTAACTCAATACAGGTGATTACAGAGGTGGAGGGAGAGAGGCAGTGTGGGAAAGAAACAAAAAATGGCAGATCGAGACAGGTAGAGAGACAGAAAGGCAAAGGTATAATTTGTGCTGCACATATCGCATAACAGTGCGTGGGCATTAATAGCAAAGGAAAGTAAGAAAAGTGAAAAAATGGAGGCTGTGTGTGATTTCTGTAACCTGCATGTGTAGAGAATGAGACAGATGTGTTAGACAAAGTGAAGACAGACTTGAAACACACACAAAAAAAGACAAATGTTGACTCTTACCGGAGTGTGTGAACTGTAGTCTTGGTTGAGATGCTCTCCATGCCCCCGTTAAGGTGGCCCCGAGGTGGGCTAGCAGGACCACTGTCACCGGCCAACACATCCTCCTCCTTATCACACACACACAAACAAACACGCGCTGAGTCCAAGTGTGAGTTCAAATCTGCTGAATTCTGACCTAACAAGTGCCAACACAGTTTCAGTCAAAATCTCAGTGTTGCATTCAGGTGAAGTGCTGAATCCCAAACACACACGCAGGGATACACACTCTCAGTCCAAAGTGTTGCACTGAGTTTAAGTCCAAGTCACAGGGATGCTGAATCCAAACACTCTTACAGTCCAAGTGAGTCGGGGCTTGAGTAAGTCCAGATCCTGAAAATAATTCACCGCTCCTCGCAAGAGGGTAACAGCACTCACACACACTTTACCATCTGTGTGTTTGTGTGTTTATATATTTTTTTGAGTATGTGTGTGGGCTTCAGAGATGGAGGGGAGAATGTATTCCAAGAAAAAACTAAGTCGTCTCTCTGCTGCCTCCTCACAGCTTGACAGCTCTCTTCTGTTCTGTCTCTCGTCCCCGCTCCTTTCTGCATGTGACTGCTCTCTCTCTCACTCTCTCTCCCTCCCTCCCTCCCTCTCTGGGAGGCGGAGGGAGCAAGATCCAAGATGGTTTTGGCCAGCCTGCACACACACACACACACACACACACACACACACACACACACACACACACACACACACACACACACACACACACACACAAATGCAGGCACGCACGCCTATTCACTGCTCTGGGAAAACCTAGTTAAAGTGGAAATGAGAGAGACAAATCAGCTTTCATCTTTATTCCCATTTTTCTCACTCTCATTTTCTCTGTCTCTCACTTCCTCTCTTCCCCTCTTTTTCCTGTTGCACTTACTCCCTCACTTAATCTTTTTCTTTCTTTCTTTCTTTCTTTCTTTCTTTCTTTCTAATATATTACACTTATCAAACCCAGCGAGTACTCTAAGCTTTACAAAAGGCACCCTAACAATGAAAAAACAATACAAAACTAAGTTAATAATAGAAATGTAGATCAGGTAGCAAGAATAAAAATGAGAGAAAAGTACAATTCCAAATAAAGATTAAAAAAAAAATGAGAAAAAGAAGAAGCAGAAGAAGAAGAAAAGTAATCTGTACATGCATACCTCAATACACACGTACACAGTCATAAAAGAGACTTTGAATGAAAGTGGGTTTACAGAAGCAGATTAAAACAATATATTGAAGTTGGAAGTCTGGGTTCGTCAGGCAGATCAGGGTTAAGGTGCCCAGCAGCCTCAGGACCCAGGTTGTGTTGTTGATAAAGGGGGTTAATGACTCAAGAGATATAATCTAGGGCCATGCCATGAAGTGCATTAGAAGTAATGAGTAGGATCTTAAAATCAATTCTAAAACAAACTCTCTTTTTCTCTTTCTCAGTACCAAAGTCTCCTCCTTGGCTCCTTCTCATTATTTTCTCCATTTCCACTCCCAACCCAAATGCAATCATTATGTAAAGCTTGTGCCTTCTTTCTTGCTCTGTTATTGTCATTAGATAGCGGCTCACTGGGGTACGAGAGCGCAGGCTGAATTTTTCACCAGCTCAAGTTCAATCACAGGCTAGCGGGGACAATTTATTCATTCTCTGGGATAAATAATGAATTTAGGTTGCGCGCAAATGAGCAAGTATATACTCCCTCCGAGGACTTCTGATTCGTAAATGATTTATTCTCCACACTTGTTTGCTATTGTATAATTAGTACAGGGTTTTTTGTAAATATGACCCAGCAGTTTCATTATGTGATTAGATGTCCCGTAACCTGGTGTTTACACAACCTCATACAGTTTTTAATTGGATGAGGGCAAATCTGGTCAAACCCGCTCGTTAATTAAGTTAGCTAATTATTTAACGGAGGGAGAGGAAGAAGTTGTCTCGTGGTAATACAGGCAGACTCACCCTCCTTTAGTGATAACCCTGTGCCATGCTGCAGTGATCTTTAGCGAGATGCTACAGAAGCTTCATGTTTTAATAATTAACATTAAATGCTTCTGTTGTTGAAATCAGCGGGCTCCATAATCCCCTAAAGACAACATGTTTTTGCTCAATTTCATGACCAACACCATTATTATTATCATTGTTAGTAGTATTAGTCATTGTTGTAGCCTTAATCCTGATCCCAGGATCAGCTGTCAATCAAACAGTGTCGATAGTACTGTGACTGTTCAGTTTCATTCTCTGTTCAGGAAGTTCCTGTAGGTGGCGCTCTTTTCTTTGGTATAGTTATCCATGCTAATACTAACCACCCAGGCCAGTTTTTAGGTATTTCAGACAAACTGATAAAATACACCAATCCTGTGCAGCAGACAGACAGACCTACAGTGCCGGATACTGTGTGTTTCAAACTGCAAATGTCTTGAGTGTGAACGGGCTGAACTACTACTACAGTTATAAAATGGAGGAAGATCCAGAAACTAATGTCAAAGAACTACAAACGTTCTTTGTGAGTATTCATGTTTGCTTTCATGTTGCGGTTGTGCAAATTAGGAAGAACTGACAGTAAAGTGTAAAGGTTAAAAGTATTTTGCAATAATACTTCTGCAATAGCAAAGCAGGAAACAGTGGACACTGCAGTCATCATTTGAACATGTGAGTCAATGAGTCACCCTTCGCTGCCTCTTGTTGAATGTTTTATAATCAATATAATAATTGTAAATCACCTCAATTAATAAAAACTTGACACATAATATAAGGCAGCATTGGGAAAGGGAGATTGAGATGAAAATACCTCAGGAGGTGTGACTACATGTCTGGGGAATTCCTCCACTAATTCTCATACCTGGAGGAATTTTTGTTGGAATTTTTTGACTCGGTTCTTTATAACCACTGAGCAGAAATCCAAATGAACTGGGACCCAGTGCTCTTGCTGAAGGGAGCGTGGATCAATATGGATGTATCATTTATTGTATCAGTTATTCCTGAAGGTTTGAGTAAAAGTGATCTCTACCTGCTTCAGATTTTTATAGTTGAGTGCAAAAAAAAAAAACTATTACCAAACGCTGGCTTCAGAGAAACCCCCCGATTAGACCTTTTTATGGGCACTGTAGTACATACGCTCCATGGATGACTTACACCCTCCATCTACAGGAGGCAGGGATGAAAAATACTGGATGGGACCTTCAGCAAAACTGAATAATTAAAGGACCAGTGTGTAGGATTTAGTGGGCTCTAGCAGTGTAATTTCTGATGGCAACACCCTTGCCTCACCCTCTCGTTCCAAGCATGAAGCAGAAACTACGGTGGCCACGAAACCAGTAAAATGCCTTAACTACAGCCACTGTTTGGTTAATCCGTTCTACACTAGTGGGATACTCCATAGAGGAGGACAAGCTCCCCCTTGAGATAAAAACGTCTCATTCTAAGGTAACACAACTATTATTATTTTCAGGTGATTATACACTAATTAAAACCTGTGAATAGTAGATTTAATTTCTGCCAATAGACCATTCTAAATGTTTTTTCTTTCTCCTCCTTGACTTTAATACGAGGCAGTAGCGCAAACAAAACTTCATAATGGTTGCAAGTAACTGAGAACTGAAATTGTTTTAAGAATCTAATAATGACTGCATCTGAACTGTCCACGGTCCCATACTCAGGGTTTCTGCAGCTTTCAACGGGTTCAATTTGAGGGTTTTTAAGAACTTTTAAGATCATTATGAATGCAATATAATCTCTAATTTACATCGATACTGGCAATAAAAAATACAAAGGATATAAAGGAAAATCTGTATTGGCTCCATGTTGGTTTCGTTTTGTAGTTGTAGCTGTAGTTGTTACAGCATGATCAATACAAACATTTAAAGGCAAGACTTAAAAATGCCACTTTATCCAATCAATTTTAAGACATGTCAAAATCATATTTCAGACATTTTAATACCTAAAATTCTGATTATTGGATTTTAAACTTTTTAAGACCCTGGAGAACATTCAACAGTCATTCAGAAGTACTACCTTAGCAGCAGATTCTTCTTGGGGCCAACAGGACAGAAGGGGTTGAGGTTGCTGAAGCTGCCATGTGCATTACATCTCTGAGCAGGAAAGATGGAAAAGGTATAGCTCAAGCAGTAGGTATAAACAGTAGGTATAAATCAACCACACTGTTGTCGGTCTAAAAACTCCAAATGTCATCTTCATCTTTGTCACTGTAAGCACTCGCCATTAAACTGACTTATTGTACTAGGACCTACTAGACTCTCGGGTCATTATGACAGGATCATTAGATGCTCTTCAGCAATCTTACCTGATCAGTCAGCTTGTTAATTACAACTAATGGCCTCCCAGCTGGCTTGAACAAAAAGCCTGGGATTTCTCTTTGATGAGTGACCTCAATTAGTCAATTAGAGTGTGACCTTTGGCGGCAGAGATCATTACTGGGCTCTCTGCTATTCTCCAAATAAACACATAGAACATCTATTAACTAATGCACATTCCCTGTGTTTCATGGGTTGAGTGAGAATGCATCGGTTAATGGGCACATCTGTTATGTCCCCTTTTTAAGCTGATTTGAATCCTAAGATCACTAATTCACAGTGTATATGATAGTAATGGTAGTCAAACTGAACAAAAAGTATCAATTTGGCTGTTTCTCAAAACATAGGGTAGGATACATTTTTAAGATACTGTGCTGGCTGTTTCATTCAATCATTATTGAATAATTAATGATCAAAAATCAATGATAAAAATTAAAGTCCCTGTCTGAGGAAGTGGCTGTGGAGAGAGAATCATTTCTTTTACTAACTGATAACTTTTTCTTAAGTTTTATCTAACAAGCACCCATAAAAGTGGGATTCAGTAAACAGTAAACAGTAAACAGGCTTTGTTGTATTAGAGCTGAGAGTGATAGCAACATGTTGTCTCCTTTACAGTCAGCAATGAAAGAAACAGCTATATTTGTATTATTTGTTTTATAAGACTGATATCTTGTTTAATAAAGAGCAAACTGACACAATACCAGTTTACAATAAATAAAGGAAATATTCATTTTAAAAATATGTGAAATAGTCTCGTAGGTAGGTGGTAGGCCTCTGTGAGACTAATACTGTAGCCATGCTAACTGTTAGCTAATACAACAGTGTTTAATCATAATTGTACTTATTTTTATATTGTTTTAAGTTCACACACTGAGCGATATTTAGTTTACCATTAAATAAAATCCAAGATAACATTATGTGACAAACAAAATCTTACCAAAATGTGTCTGTGGTCCCTGGCTATGTGTGCCTTTAAGTGATTAAACTATCTGGGACTATTCCCTCACACAGGTAGGACTGTGCTGCCATCTTACGTTTCTTCCCGCCGCTTACCTGTTTGGACTAATGTCGAAATCCCGCGAGACTCCAGGAGAGTTCACTTATATCGTATATAAAAATGGTCACTGTACATTTTTAATTTTTGCTTATGTTAGAAGTCTTTCTTCACACCCAAAATGAAAAATGTTTAATCCGACAACAAACTCAAACTAAAAGTCAAAGAAGAGGAGAGGGAACTGTTACTGAGTCTGACTGAATTCAACAAATTAAGATGTAATGTCAGCATTATACCACCAGAGGTCAGTGGGAGATTGTGTAAATTCAGTGTACACTAATCAGAGATGTTATACACATATGAAATATTTAATAATTTACTTTATTTTATATTAATAATTCAAATATGTTTCAGATATTGTATTTATACAAGCCTACAAAAGTAGTTGAAGTGGCAGCAGTTGAATGTGAGTATATCTTTCGGACTCTGCAGGAATTATTTTCCCTTTTTCTAGGGAAAACTGGGGAAATAATATTGGTCTAAATCTAAATCTCTAGAACGAAACTTAAGATAACAGCTTCTCTTGAATTAATTCTAGATCCTAATTTTCACTTCACATGACCCTCGTTAGCTGCTGTCAATCACACAGTCCAAAACTAAGATTTCAGGAGAGACTTTGCCCTAGAGAGACTTCAGGTGGTGTGAAGGACATTTAGGTTCTCATTTCTGAGAATTCTTTCAGATTTTATTTAGAAAAAATATTCTTCAAAAAAAAATTTTGTACATTGAGTTTGTAAAAAAAGAAATTATCTGAAATGCCAAATCACATTAATCCACCCTCTCCAGAGTAATGGGTTAATTGGTTTCATAGTGTTAATTTTGTTTTATGATATCTTTTTACTGTAGTAGCATGCCCAGGTTAGTCAGGTATAATCAGAATCAGAGTCAGAATCACTTTTATTGGCCAGGTATGAAAACACAAACCAGGAATTTGAATTGATTTCAATATAATTGTCATTAACATATTGCCAATATCGGCCAATAAGGTTTATTCCCAGAGAGTCGTTTGGATTTAATGTCACTGACAGATGTGGTGGAGTTGATGACAGGGTGGAGTGAGTGTTTTGGAGGGTGTGGGTCTGACCGTCCTGCGCGCTCCCGTCATGATGTGTTAGAACCTTTTGTGTGGGGGCGCGGCTGACGGGAGCGCGCGCGGTGCCAAACGGTAGTGAATCAACAGTAAAACAGGGACATTACCGCCGTGGTTGGTTAATATCAAAAGTTGAGAAGTTAAATAACAGCTGTTTTTTGCGTTCATCCGTGGGAAACACAAGGCAGTAGGTCGGGGCTTTTTTTTTTCTTTTAAAGTGAAATGTGTCATGGAAACTATAAACTCCTGTCCTACCAGAGAAGGGGACACGGATGGGTCTCTGGGCGTTGTGTTCTGGTGTGGACAGCCTAAAAATAAAACTTTGGGAAACAACAGAATAGGTGGGCGTAAGGATGACTCACAATCACGGGGCAATCCTTGTCACGGCCTTTACTCTACAGTCATAACATAAAAAAAATACACCTCGGACTGAGACAGAGCAGCCAGTCCAACCGGCCCAAAGTCATCACCAAAGATCGTCTTTTGAAAAAGATGAATAGCACACCAGGTAATGCAGCAGCAGTGGACCTGTGGACTGTTTTTTTCTCAGCAAGTACTGTTAAAAAATGTCTCAGTCTAATGTTAAAACTGTCTCACCGCATATTAAGGCACTGCAAACTAAACTGTGGCACCCCCTGTGTCTTGTGAGGTAGTAAACAGGATCAGCCATGTGTTTGCCATTTCCTCATTCACTACATACTGTAATAGCATTCACATGGAAGATATTTGGCAAGAGAGCATCTGATTTATAAACATTTTCAACAACTGGTGGTCATCCGAGGAAGGTTTTTGATCAGATCATTCACCGTACTATATGACTCAGAATCTGAATCGGGTTTAATGCCAAATAGATTTTCATATATAAGGAATTTGCCTTGGTAATAGATGTTAATTTATGGTTAACAGTATTCTCTTAACACTACTTTCAGTTGTTTTTTTTTACTGGGTGTTGTTGCGACCATGTGTCATTATCCTGTCCACAATGTGTTTATCTGACCCATACTGCATGGGAACACACACACAGTGTAGCTGACTCATTTCATGGGTCATCTCCTTTGAAGGATGCAGCCAATAAAGACGTGGAGACTAATGCGACACTCTGACCATAACTGTAAATTTACTCGTACTGGTAGTAATAACATAAAATGCTGGCGCTAGCATAAATAGCCAGCTAACATTACTATTCCAAAAGTTGAAAATACATTCATGTAGTTGAATACCATACAAAATCTGCCTTTTTCACAGCAGCCCTTTTGACATGAAATAGTAGGGTAAACACAGGTGTTAGCAATCATCCTAAATTAAGGTTCAGCTCCATTTAGTGTAGCAGAGCCTTTCCAGTGAGCCAACAATATCAGCTCTGTCTGACCTGAACGCAACAGAACTTTCATTAGTATCATTGGTAAGATCTGTATTTATCCTACTATTTCATGTCAAAATGGATGCTGTGAAAAAGGTCTATTCTGGGACTTCACAGTTACATGGGTAAAGGGCAAAGTTACTGTGCATCAGTAAATAATTGATCAATACTTCCACACTGAGGGTGATCCCAGGCTCTCTCTGAAATTGGCTAGACATTGTTGGGTCTCACAGTGTCACAGGTCAGAGACCGATGAGGTTGAACCCTACATGCAATGAGATCTGAGCACGACGGGAAGTTGAATGTTCATAGAAACAAAAGGGGATAACCCTGTAATCCTTTACAGTGGATTTACTCCAGAGGCTACCTTAAATTATCCTTGGGTGATGGTGGACAATACATTTTGGACAAATTGAAGACCACAAACACACCATTATGTCCTACAAATTGTTGGTGCCTTTGGAATTGGACGTACTTGTCAGTCGCCATGACGTATTGCAGACTTCAAAGGAGACAACCTTGAAAATGGGACTAGGTAAGCTGTGAAAATCAGAAACCAAGAGGGAATTACTACAGCGTGGCTTTGGGAGAATATGGGATTTGTTGTTGTTGACTGTAAACAAAATTACTCTTATTTTATCAGTGAAGTGACAAAGTGTTTACATATAACATAACATGTGTGTGTCTTTTAATGTGGACCGACAGTATCACGTTGTGGCTTTTCAGAATGAAACCAGCTATGAGAAAATCCACTGAGGCTAAACAATTAGCTTGAAAATTAGCTCCCGATACTCTGGTAGCCTGGAAAAGAGGCAGAGTGAGAGGTCTGTCCTCTCTTCCTCCCCGCTGCCTGCCTCGCTCGCGGTCTGTTTTGCGGCAGATGATTGGCTCTCGTGTAACCCGCCCCCCTCCTCTCCTCTCGCTCCCCCCCATTGGACGGCTCCCGTCTTCTCCCTCTCATCCCATTGGACAAGTCGTGCGGGCGATGAGCTCATATTGGTTAAATATAGTTGGGCTCGCGAGGGGCTAAAAATAGGCCGGTATATAAGGCCGGTGGTTGAGCTGTGTTGCGCCTTGTTCGTCTACGGCCGGCAGCCGGAGGAGCAGAGAGAGAGAGAGAGGGAGAGACACACACACACACACACACACACACACACTGAGACACAGAGGGGAAGAACAGAACAGTCTCGTCACCCTCTGCTGCCTCCCTCCAGCTCATTCCTCTACAAGTGTTGCACCAGAGGCAGTGTTTTTTCTTACATGGTGCCCGGCACCAGTTTTGGGTGGAGCAGGCAGTGACGAACTTCCTTCCTTCCTTTTTAACTGTGGTTTTGATCTGAATTTCTCTCTAGAGAGGCCCAGTCATTTCCCCCGAGCAGAGCATTAAAGTGTCTGAGGAAACATGAGTCAAATGTTTTAAAGAAGTGATAATAATATGGTTATCAATTCATAATAATGTGTTTGTGTATAAGCTGTGAATGAACAGTGGGCCCAACAAGTTCCCTCCTATGGTTTAAGTCTCCTGTGATGTGTTAGTGCCGCCATCATGGCTGCACATTGTGTTGCAAAGAGATGTCAATATATAATATACAACATTAGGGTGTATGCTAATGACGTTTTTGACACCATTTAGGGTGTAGCCTGGCCAGAGTGCAGCAACATGGACAACAGCAGTTTAAGCCAGTGTGCTGCTATTCAAGCACTAAAGTCTTCCAAAAAGCAACCTCTCAACACACAGATCAGAGTTCAGAGTGGCCTTAATATCTGAACGTATGTAAAATGCATCTTAGCGTATAGTATTCTGGCTGATGCTCTAGTGTTTTGCAGTCAGGTTAAATTGCTCTCCTCTCATTCGCAGGGAGACATTTTCAGTCAGAGAAGCACAAGCTGACTTCTTGTTTCCTCTCACACCCACCCACTGCGCCTCTTGTAATCCATCATTGGAGGCCCCCTCCTACTATCCATCCTTCCATTTTCCATATTTGTTTATCCCTCCTCCTCCTCCTCCTCCTCCTCCTGCTTCCCTTTCCATACCACAAGTCTCCTACAGTAGCCTATATAAGCCCCCAAAATTTACTCCAGGCACTTCTCTGATGTAATAAGGTGGAAACCAGAGGTATGCAATGAAAAGAATAACAGCAGGAAAGTCAGGAATGTAGGAAATGTAGGTTCAAAGTGGTCCAAACAGCACATTTTTTCAGAAAGAAGCTCACAAACCTCATCCTTGCATCTTTTATCCAGACTACGGCTCAGGGTTTACACTGTATATATTAACACTGAGTTCCAAATGACTTCTTATAGCTGTTTTTTGTTTTTATTTAGTCCAGAATTGAATAGTTTTGAATATGGTTGCACACTAGCAACATGTTTTTGTGTCTATATGCTTTGTCCTCTTTGAAATAACCCTCTGCCATGGTATTTGCCTTGAGGTTTGGTGTTATTCTTACTACAATTAATTGCAATCAAATTGGCTGTTTTACTTCATTTCTATTTTTGTGTCCTAGACATAGACATAGAGAGATTTTTGCCACCACTTGGATCAGTTGCAAAAATGTGAGTCCATGTAACTTTACACCACTCTGGTTAGAAAGCCTTAGATGTTTGCAGCATTTAAGGTCACATATGTATTTCTCTAAATGAAAGGGTTACTGTAAATGTGTAAGCACCATCCTGCTCATGCATTTATCCATGTTTTCTCTGGGTTTCCACTCCCCCGCGCTGCCTTACACAACTCCTGTCCTTCATTGTAGGTTACGGAGCAGCTCCACAATCTGCACACACTCGCAGCTTCTCGATATTAGTCCACAATATCCAGCATCATCCCACACAGGCTGAAACCGCCTCACCTCGGGCATCCCACACACTCCGCTCTCTCTGCAGCACAGGCCTCAGAGTGAGGCTGCTTGCTTGTCTCGGAGTGCTGTTGCTGCTGCTTTCTGCTCTTCAACCAGCAATCCTGTTAATGACCAGTGCTGTACTCATGTTTTAATTCATTGGGATTAATTAATCGTGCAATTACTGAATGACACATCGAATTTCTATTGATTTCTGGTGAGCTACAGTGGTTTAATGCAGTGTTTATTTGTGGTACACTAAAGCACAGAACAGTAGTACAAGTCGACAAGAGTCATAAAGCCCACAAACTGACACAGCAATATCTGGGTACAGTCTGCTAACATTAGCTGCTAGTTAGACCAAGTAAGACTGCAGCAGCAAGTGTAATGAGTGTATTGAATCGTAATAATAGAAATGAATAGTAATGTGTTTTATTGCTTATGAATTCAACTTTTAATTTCCAAGAGTAGAACTGTGTTGCTTGTTTCGAATGTCACAGTCTCGCTTTAAAGATGATTGCTAGTGTGCCTTTGAGTACAGGCTTTTGATGTTCAATGCCCCAGATAGTTACATTTTCTTGTTAAAGCATATCGTAGCTAAGACACTCATTTCATTGTTTGAAAAAAAAAAAAAAAAAAAAAAAAGAGGGCAGCTTTATTCAGTGTTTTCAAGTATGAAATGATTCTGAGTTTAAGGTGTATTACTATTTGAGAAACAGCTAACAGCCAAAAAAGAAAATTTGGCCAGCAGATCCACAGTCACACTGTAAAGCAGCAGTTGTAAAAGAAGCCTGTTGGTGTGGCACTCTGGTATTTAAATCTTACAGACCCGTCCACTCAAAAATATGTGTTCCTTCTGGTTCCTACAGTGTGATCTTCACTGTGCAGAATGATGTATGTGCAGAGTGTGACACTAGAAGGTTGTTTTTACATGCATCTGCTGAAAGGGGAACATTTCTCTGAGCTCATCTGTGTGCAATTTAAGTGTGGTGATGATATAGAAACTTTAAGCCACCAGTGCTCATACACTGAGAATGGACTTCACACGGAAGTAGGAGACATCTTGTGTCCAGCAGGAGTAGAGGCACTCCAGGAGCAGTTGGGTGCCTTGCTCAAGGGCATATCCCACCTTCTGGTTCCACCCCCGATAGTGATACTGGGGTTTGTATGATACTCAGTCATGCTTGTTGGCTCTGGTTCATGATCAGATGAAGCTCTGTGCAAACTCCTCATCCAATCAAAAGGGGCTGCTGTGGGATTTTATTGTTGTAATGATCTGTAGCTCTGCAGTACAAAGATTTAAAACCCACAACAACATGCATCACTGGTAAACAATTATCTACATTAATTGCTACACCTGTCCATCAGAACCCATCATCACCAAGTACGTTGCTGTGAACTCAGCTGTGAACATCAGGAATGAAGATGTGGGATTTGAGGGTGCAGCTTGAATAACAGCAGCTGTCTGAGTGAACCTCCACATTTCAAGAGTGGCTGGTTCACATTTCTAACCCAAATCTCCAGTTTATGCAACTCCTCCCATTATGTACACCTGCTGTGGGCCTCCAAAAGTAAATACATTCTCATACTCCAGCATGTAACATGACTCATATTTGGGTTGATGAAATGTTAAAACATTTTTTTATTTGACGAGTAATAGCTACAGTTTCACAATTGAGAACCACTTTAGACCTACAACAAGGACACATTTTAAGAGTCAACTAGCTGCAATTTGTTTTTCTCACCAGCTTTTCTTAATGGTACACATGATTTGGGAGGGTATATTGAAATCTAACCATTCCATTTGTCTCTTAAATTTAGCTTTCCTTCCTCTCAACTGTTTTCTAAAATCACTTGTCAGTTGATGCTACTCATGTATCAGGTTCAGCCAAATAAATGTTCATTAAAAACTGATAACAGCACTCCATTTATACTTCATGTGTATTGATTGAACTTAAGAGCTCTTCCCCGTCACCCCCCTGAGACCACAATGAATAGGAGCTGTGTGTTATAGAAAGTAATTTATTACACAAACCAAAGCTAGTTTACAAATACAGTTTCCAGTCCTGTGCGTGTGTATAGTCTAGTATGAACAAACCCACATTTCATATTTACAGACTTTGCATACAGCTTGGTTTTCCTGTTCCTTTGTTTACATCAGTTTCAGCATTCAAAATTAGGATTTAAAAATACAATAAAAAGTAGAAATAAAAATGATTTGTACATAATAAGGAGACTTACATTGTTTTTCCTTTTGTCTTTTCAGCCAAGTTTGTGTTTTTAAACAAACAAACAGAAAAAGAGCCAGCAGATGTGGTCCTAGCGATGCTCTAGACAGGCAGCCGAGAGGCCAGCCTTTCTCCTGACTGCCTAACAACAGCATTTGGCAGGGATGATTGACGGGTCGTTACAACCAATTGTAAATCATCAGAAAAATTCAGGTAAAGCACGTAAGAATAAACTAAAGCAACGTCACATAAGCAGTCCCCTAGTCTTCCACCTCCTATTTTAAATACTGATAGACAACATATTTATGACTTTTTTTTTTTTAAAAGCAGGAAATAAAAGTATAAAAACGACAACACAAGACTAGGTTTCTGGAACAGGCTCCTCCCTGTAGGCCAGGAAGAAGAACAGGAGGGTACAACACTGTCAAGAGAGCCTGAATCTGGCAGTAAAACAAACAGAAGAGTCAGGGGAGGCTGGTGGCTGATACACCCCTAATATGACTGGCCACCCTTAAAAAAATAACCCAAAATTAAACATGTCCAACACAGGGCATGTGGTTAATTCTCACTCTGCTAATGATGTAGGTTACCTGCATGTTTCACCCCAAACTCTATCCTGCTGCCCAACCTGACAGTTCTGGCGTTTTCATGCACAGTATTCTGGATTAAAAAAAGGTCATGTCACTGTGTCATGTTTGTCTTTTAAGTTAAACTGTTAAAGCAGATGGCAGGTACCAACAGATAACCAGTAAAGGCAGACATGTATATGGTGGATAATGTGGTATATCCCAGGCACCTTTTTTATTTCCTCAAACATGAACTAGTTCTGGTTATTGTACATTTGACCTTTATACATGCCTACGAAAAAAAAAAAAAATTAATAGTCGTTCATCCCAAATATGGAGATCAGTGGTGTGCATGTAAACGCAATACTCTCCTCTCCTTGTTCTTTGTCCTGGTCTAAAACCAGGGGAAGATGAGCACCAGCAGTCAGCTATGTTGAACAGGAAGGGATGGGAGCTGAGCCATGGCAGAGTTCGCTCACGTTGTACTATGCAGGGCAGGAAGCCACCTCTGTCAACCAGTGGGACCACAATTCACCTGCCACTTCCACTGATTCAGTCCAAAGAAGGCTTTTAAATGTTCAGGTGAGAGCCGATCACTTCCTAAAGTAGACAAACCAACCTCAGTAAAGATGCACCAGCGTGTGGGTAGCTCCGACGCTGAAGGCGTCAAAATGCTGCTCCTCTGGAAGTAAACCGCACACAGCCCTCTACAACACTGCTATGGTAAGATGCCCAATATTTAAAGCAGCGACTGGAACACAGGTGGCGATGAGAGGCCACTTTGAATTACAGATCCGATGATGACGCACATGTACTTTAAAACCAGCACTGAGGGCACAGTTTCTGTCAATTTAAACTGAGCTGCTGTTCATCTGCAAATTATAGAGCGTCCACTGTTAGCTGGCTGAAACAGATCATCTCAGAAAGAGTAGGGCTCAGTGTGTTTGTCACTGAGAGTCTGTAAGCACAGGATTAGCCACAGTGAGAGACTAAATGGCACTGAGCTGGACATGTGAGCATGCAGCTCCACGGCTCTCTGATAATACGACACATACGACCCAAGCACCTGACAGCACGTGACCACTTGTTTAACGCGGTGGATCCGACGACCCTCTCAGGACAAACTTTTCTAACTGCTTTATTCTACAAGCAGATCAACCTCCACCCCGTGTAAAGCACCATTTTGAGGGGCACTTGATACAATACAGTTTTACTGGTGATTTGTCTACTTTTGGGGCTGTTCAAATAACCTGCCCAGGTAACTACAGCATATAACAAGTATGCTTGAATGTGCAGAACTATGAAAACTGCAAGTTGTGCCCTGCTTTGGTGTATACAGTCTCATCACGGTCACACCCAAGTACTGCGCTTCAGTCTTACCATCCCTTCGCCTGTCCAACTCCACTCCTCGCCCTAATTCCAGGTATGAAAACCTGGGGATAAATAGTCCACTGGTGGCCGTTTACAGTGGTACTCATTTACTGTGCTATCTGTTTGCCCTCATCCATCTGTAAAGTCATCCAGGGAGGAAACTTTACCTTTTTTTTTTGTTGTTTTCACACTGAACACAGTCACTGGAACAGCCCATAATTCACCAGCAAATTTATCAGTTTTACCAGTCAGCTAGATTTTTGTTTTTTTAAAGGATCTCCTAATGATCTTTGTCAGTGTAAGTGGCTTGTTGAACAGACAATATGTACCAGCATTTGGCTGGTGGCTGGTGTAAATTTCCCACCTCGATGGTAAACCCACAGGTGAGGAGCCCAATGGTTTACAGTGGTAGTCATTTACTGTGCTCCCTCCTCCCCTATCCATCCATCCACCCACCCGTCCATCAAAGCTTCCCAAATCCAATGTCCCAGGGTAAATTCAGTCCAACAAACAGCCATTTTACAGCGGTAGTCATTTACTGCACTCTTTTCTTCCCCTCCCTCCCTCTCCCATCTAGTAATCCCTCCGTCCCTCCCGAGCCCTAGCCCCGGGTACAGTAACCCAGGGTGAAAACTGTCCAAATATGTCTGCCATTTTACAGCAGTACACATTTATTGCTCTTCTTGCCGCGGCGGGCCTGCAGCGCCGCCCTGGTGGCCATCTCGAACACCTCCCGCACGCCATCCTTGGTCTTTGCAGAACACTCCATGTAACCGAATGCTGCAATGCGACCAGCCATGTCCCGGCCTTCCTCTGACTTCACTGGCTCCTATTGGATGAAGAGAAAACCAATCATTTAATTTATGAACACATTCTCTGTGCCTCTGAATATTTACACATTTAAAAGATTACTACCTAACTAACCGCCTCAGTACTTCTATCATCAATGATACAGTTGAGTGGGGGAAAGGTATTTCTAAAGCTAGACGCATGCCGGAAATGCTAGATGGTAATAAGACAATACAATAAGGGGATATTTTATGCACAAATACATTTTGTAATATGGATAAAATAAACCGTACACCCACATTATTGCACTTAGTTGGCATCATGTTTTAATGCCTCGTGAAAAAGTCTTGTAAAGACTCCACCTTAATAAACCTGTCTAAATGCGATTGGTCACAACATGCCCTCATTCACTCAAAAGAACCCCATCAGCAGAACACCCAAAATGTAATAGATCTCTATCTAATTAAAAGAAGACATGTCTGAATAGTAATTTGAGCCAAGCAAAAGAAGAATTAAGTTACCTGCTTCATCTTGGCCAGTTCTCGGCGTGTGTGCTCATCGTTGCGCAGGTCTTTCTTGTTTCCTACCAGGATGATGGGAACGTTGGGGCAGAAGTGTTTGACCTCTGGGGTCCACTTCTCTGGAATGTTTTCTGTGAAGGAAAAACCAGAGAAGGAAGAAATAGATCAATAATCATTGGCGAAAGAACATTTTAATTTGTGTGCATGTGTATGTGTGTCCAAGGTCATTTTGGTTGTTAGACTAAAATTCAAGCATTACAGTAGAGGTGGTGAATCTTTACTAGATTTAATTTTTTTCCAGCTATGGGACAAAATGTCTTGTAACAGATGGGCCACCACAGCTAAAGAGGAAAAAAAAAAAAGGCGTTATTTGCATATTTTCCAGTGCAATGGACCATGCACATTCTTGCCCTGCGATAGCAGAGTTGTTTATCTTTTTGTGCCTCTCTGTGTATGTATCGCTTTAGGGAAAAACAGGAAACAAATAACTAATTTAATAATCCCAGAAACTCATAGGAAATGATGGTGCTACTCCTTCTTGTTATAATTGAAAAACCACAAAAACTGACAATGGAACCTTTGCATAAAAGCTATGCGAGGGTGCAGAAGTTAACCTCATCTTTAAATTAATCATCACACAATGCCACCATTTTGATTAGACTAACATTTACAAAGAATTTTAATTTAAAATGTGAGTGACTGCAAAGACAAGAAAAAGACAAGAAAAAAAACACAAAGAGCCTCAATATCTTCACTGAGCACCAAGTGTTAAATAAAATTTTACGTATTAAATAAAATGTTTAAATACGTGGTCAGCAAAAACACCCGTAGAACAGAAATGTAATGTCACAAGAATGGTCATGTGAGACAATTCTGAATGGCCAGCTTTAGTACAATTAGCCTTTGTTTTATTACAATTATGACTTCCTCTCTTTTAATCCTATTAAATTTATGTCTGGCATTTTAATCATCTGCAGCTTTTATCACCTTATTTTACACAAAGCAGTCTACATATGATCAGGGAAGTGCTGTTCATAAACATGATGACAGAAAAGGCATGGCTTGTTGTTGAACAGCATGGCTGCCTGCCATTGCATGACAAATGATTTGTCTCAATGTGTGTTGGTGTGTATTTGCAAATGTAAGCACTTCCTCTACAAGTGGTATTAAGAGTCACAACAGGATAAACACGCAGACCCCAGAAATAACTTGATCAGAAAATGGAAAAACAGGGGCAGGACGGAGACGTGGTATTTTAGGTCATGAATGTGTGTAGGTGTTGGTTTGTGTGGTTGTGGTTTGTACTCACCCAAGCTGTCAGGGCTGTCTATGGAGAAGCACATGAGGATGACGTCAGTGTCTGGATAGGAGAGAGGTCTCAGCCTGTCGTAGTCCTCCTGACCCGCAGTGTCCCAGAGAGCCAGCTCCACCTGATGCAAACGGATGCGTTGTAGGCAGAGGGGGCAGGGAGATGGAGAAAGGGGGAACAAGAAAAAAGGAGGGAGAGAAGTTAATACACCATCTCCATTCTGATCAGCACAACTTTTACATTGAAGCCCACAAATAAATTACATAATAAACAGGGACTGCAGCAGACCTCATCCTGATTCCACTAATAAATCAATTTCTGATTTTATTCATTATGATAATTTCTGACTATAAAAAAGGTGGAAGGCAGAGAATTAAACATTATACATTTTAGGGGGAGTATCTCTGTAATGCTGATTAAGTTTTTGGCAACCTTAAAGTGGCCTATTTTATCACTTAGATATAGGATTTTTTTAATAGTTTGAATTTAAAATTTAGTTTCCATGAAGATATGGTTCGAGTTAGATTTTTGGGCTTGAAATTGACATATATGATTATGATATTGATTATTTTCAATTTAACAGGTTCAACATTCATACATACAATAGCTGCTATACATCAGGCAGTTTGGGCCAGTATTCTGACAGTTTCACTAGTGAAGATCTCATTTTTAAATTCGTTCAATAAATACAGAGCTGTGTCAGTGCATAGGTGACAACTGTATTACTGTCTGACAATTAGCTTCAAAAATTAATTCTAGTGTTTAGTATT